TGCATGACATTTAGGCCCTTTAACAATAATTGCTTTCTCTGGATTCAAACCTCCTAGGGTTGTTGTTAGCACGTTGTGTAACGTAATCGCAGCACAATTGTAACCGCTACAGACGCAGAGTTGATGCATGCCAGCTTGGCTTTTTACCCATGAAAACCCAGTGAGGGGAAAATATTAATTAGCATCCTTGAAGTTCATGTGCTTCTCTTTACTCTAGGTCTGATAAAAAAAAAAAGAAAGAAGCAAAATCGGCTTAACTTGCAGCAATTAATCGTGATCTAGTTTAATGAGGGCACACTTTGCCGTGCTAATGTGGCTAATTAACAGTCAAACAGGAAGTGGTATTGACTTTGAGTGGCTGCCACTAGACGATGATGAAGGTGCTGATGTGTAAATATCAAATAAGGGTGCATAACAAGTGCATGCAAATTCCACGGACACCACTAGACAGAAGGATGGATGGCACACAGAGAAAAGAAGGTATAATACAAGCACACAAATCCACAATATATCAAGATGCACTGATATGTGTGACGCTTGCTGATTTGCTTTGATATTTGCTACAACTGCCTGTCAGTGCCAAAAAGCAAGAGCACACCAGTTGCTGAGTCTGGGGACAAAACTGTACTCTTCATTATTCCTCTTACAGAGTTTGTAAACGTACCTGGTCACGTTACACAATCTTTTATGGAGCGGAGAGGACACCGTTTCTTTTTTTTCCATCCAGCTTTGTGAAATGCTGACATACAATTCCTGCAGCATCAGTGTGTTGAAAAACAGGTCGGGGCAAGGCTGATGATACCTTTCAATGGAGGATCTTATAGAGATGGTCAATGTGAGGATATGTGCTTTAAGAAAGATAGAAAATGTGTCCCCCATCGGCAGGTTTTATACATTTAATGAGAATCTTTTATTTCTGAGGTCTCTCTCTTCAATCGATAAGCTGACAAACCTTTTGACAGTACTGAGCCGTTTTCACTTATGCACTTCTGAAAATATCTAGAGAATTCGAGGAGGGCTGCCCCTGTAATGTGTGAACAGCCACATCTCCCTCACAGTGGGGGACTATCCCTGTCGGACAGGAGGCGGGGGCTGGAGTCTCCTGAGGCAAGATGTGATGTAAAAAGAACGACAAGGAAGTAGTGGATGAAGCAAAAAAGTCCACTTTACCATGCTATAATGAGAATATTTGTAATGTGTAGTCCAACAGAATCATAATATCAACTAAAGAGTGGAGAATAACTTTTTTCTGCTCGTCAATGACGTCCTTCAGTCACTTTTAAACCGCATACACAGTGCAGGGAGAGATGATTCCATATCTCCCAGTCCCAGGCTCAGAAGCCACCAGTGAATGATGGAGAAGTACAATGAAACAAACCCAACAATGGACGCCTATTATATAAAGAAAACTTGATAGAGCTCTGTGTACAAAAACAGGCTGTCTTTTTGTTGCCCTTTGTGTTCCAGCACATTGTTGCTGTTTTACAAAAAGTAGAGCTTATGGAGTTGAAGCTCTCATAAGCTGCCAACAATGGCTGTCACAAAAAGGGCACGAAACCATTAAACAAAGCTAAATCACCAGACTGCCTCTTCCTCCATCAAAGACTGAAGGCTAATGCTGTTGTTGACCAACACAGCTGACCTCCCTCCCAACTTAACAACCCACACTCATGTCTCCACCACAGTCACACTCATGTCTCCACCAGAGTCACACTCATGTCTCCACCAGTGTCACACTCATGTCTCCACCAGTGTCACACTCATGTCTCCACCAGTGTCACACTCATGTCTCCACCACAGTCACACTCATGTCTCCACCACAGTCACACTCATGTCTCCACTAGTGTTACACTCATGTCTCCACCACAGTCACACTCATGTCTCCACCACAGTCACACTCATGTCTCCACCACAGTCACACTCATGTCTCCACCACAGTCACACTCATGTCTCCACCAGTGTTACACTCATGTCTCCACCACAGTCACACTCATGTCTCCACCAGAGTCACACTCATGTCTCCACCACAGTCACACTCATGTCTCCACCAGAGTCACACTCATGTCTCCACCACAGTCACACTCATGTCTCCACCACAGTCACACTCATGTCTCCACCAGAGTCACACTCATGTCTCCACCACAGTCACACTCATGTCTCCACCAGTGTCACACTCATGTCTCCACCACAGTCACACTCATGTCTCCACCACAGTCACACTCATGTCTCCACCAGTGTCACACTCATGTCTCCACCAGTGTCACACTCATGTCTCCACCAGTGTTACACTCATGTCTCCACCAGAGTCACACTCATGTCTCCACCAGTGTTACACTCATGTCTCCACCACAGTCACACTCATGTCTCCACCAGTGTTACACTCATGTCTCCACCACAGTCACACTCATGTCTCCACCACAGTCACACTCATGTCTCCACCACAGTCACACTCATGTCTCTACCAGTGTTACACTCATGTCTCCACCACAGTCACACTCATGTCTCCACCAGTGTTACACTCATGTCTCCACCAGAGTCACACTCATGTCTCCACCAGTGTCACACTCATGTCTCCACCAGTGTTACACTCATGTCTCCACCACAGTCACACTCATGTCTCCACCACAGTCACACTCATGTCTCCACCAGTGTCACACTCATGTCTCCACCAGTGTCACACTCATGTCTCCACCACAGTCACACTCATGTCTCCACTAGTGTTACACTCATGTCTCCACCACAGTCACACTCATGTCTCCACCAGAGTCACACTCATGTCTCCACCAATGTCACACTCATGTCTCCACCACAGTCACACTCATGTCTCCACCACAGTCACACTCATGTCTCCACCAGAGTCACACTCATGTCTCCACCAGTGTCACACTCATGTCTCCACCAGAGTCACACTCATGTCTCCACCACAGTCACACTCATGTCTCCACCAGTGTTACACTCATGTCTCCACCAGTGTTACACTCATGTCTCCACCACAGTCACACTCATGTCTCCACCAGTGTTACACTCATGTCTCCACCACAGTCACACTCATGTCTCCACCACAGTCACACTCATGTCTCCACCAGTGTCACACTCATGTCTCCACCAGAGTCACACTCATGTCTCCACCACAGTCACACTCATGTCTCCACCAGAGTCACACTCATGTCTCCACCACAGTCACACTCATGTCTCCACCAGAGTCACACTCATGTCTCCACCACAGTCACACTCATGTCTCCACCAGTGTCACACTCATGTCTCCACCACAGTCACACTCATGTCTCCACCACAGTCACACTCATGTCTCCACCACAGTCACACTCATGTCTCCACCAGTGTCACACTCATGTCTCCACCAGTGTCACACTCATGTCTCCACCAGTGTCACACTCATGTCTCCACCAGAGTCACACTCATGTCTCCACCACAGTCACACTCATGTCTCCACCACAGTCACACTCATGTCTCCACCAGTGTTACACTCATGTCTCCACCACAGTCACACTCATGTCTCCACCAGAGTCACACTCATGTCTCCACCAGTGTCACACTCATGTCTCCACCAGTGTCACACTCATGTCTCCACCACAGTCACACTCATGTCTCCACCACAGTCACACTCATGTCTCCACCACAGTCACACTCATGTCTCCACCACAGTCACACTCATGTCTCCACCACAGTCACACTCATGTCTCCACCACAGTCACACTCATGTCTCCACCAGTGTCACACTCATGTCTCCACCAGTGTCACACTCATGTCTCCACCAGAGTCACACTCATGTCTCCACCAGAGTCACACTCATGTCTCCACCACAGTCACACTCATGTCTCCACCACAGTCACACTCATGTCTCCACCACAGTCACACTCATGTCTCCACCAGTGTCACACTCATGTCTCCACCAGTGTCACACTCATGTCTCCACTAGGCTGACACTGAAATATCTACTCTTTTCCAATCCGTCTTCTCCGGCGGGATACCGTCTCAATGAGGACAGTTTTCCTGCCTCAGAAGTGGAAGTGTTAACACAGGGAGTTTTGTTCCTGACAGATGAGGCGTACCTTTTGTCGGCTCTGCGCGCTTAGGCAGATCCACTCATGTCGTCCAGTTTTTGTCGTCTCTGTCTCCACCGTCACACTCATGTCTCCACAGTGTTACACTCATGTCTCCACCAGTGTCACACTCATGTCTCCACCAGTGTTACACTCATGTCTCACCAGTGTTACACTCATGTCTCCACCAGAGTCACACTCATGTCTCCAGTGTTACACTCATGTCTCCACCACAGTCACACTCATGTCTCCACCACAGTCACACTCATGTCTCCACACAGTCACACTCATGTCTCCACCAGTGTTACACTCATGTCTCCACCACAGTCACACTCATGTCTCCACCACAGTCACACTCATGTCTCCACCAGTGTCACACTCATGTCTCCACCAGTGTTACACTCATGTCTCCACCACAGTCACACTCATGTCTCCACCAGTGTCACACTCATGTCTCCACCAGTGTTACACTCATGTCTCCACCACAGTCACACTCATGTCTCCACCAGTGTTACACTCATGTCTCCACCAGTGTTACACTCATGTCTCCACCACAGTCACACTCATGTCTCCACCAGTGTCACACTCATGTCTCCACCAGTGTCACACTCATGTCTCCACCAGAGTCAACTCATGTCTCCACCAGAGTCACACTCATGTCTCCACCACAGTCACACTCATGTCTCCACACAGTGTCACACTCATGTCTCCACCACAGTCACACTCATGTCTCCACCAGAGTCACACTCATGTCTCACACAGTCACACTCATGTCTCCACCAGTGTCACACTCATGTCTCCACTAGGCTGACACTGAAATATCTACTCTTTTCCAATCCGTCTTCTCCGGCGGGATACGTTCAATGAGGACAGTTTTCCTGCCTCAGAAGTGGAAGTGTTAACACAGGGAGGTTTTGTTCCTGACAGATTGAGGCGTACCTTTTGTCGGCTCTGCGCGCTTAGGCAGATCCAGTGTGTCGTAGTTTTTGTCGCTCTCACCGTTTTTTTCTGCCTGGAAAGAGGAGAGAGGAGGGAAGAGGACGTCAGTGTCATACGCTGAGACTAATGGATTATATAGGACAATCTTTTGATACCGGGTTAGACGGATATGATTATGTTGAAAGGCTGGTATGAGTCATATTAGACTCAAATAGTTTCTATTGAGTGTCTATTTATTGAACCCACTTCATGTCTAACCTTAACTTCAACCTTAAAATGCTCAAACAGCCTCTCCATCTTTGAAGTGACATATCAGTCTAACCCAGGTAAAAACCAAACCACAGCAAGCATGAAGTTCACATGTACAGACAGGACACAGAGCTATGAGAATGATATGTATCAACACACACATCAATGCTACATGGTGCTGTTTGCACAAAGATGACTTGAGATGAACATTCAAAGGAACACAAGACGATAAACACATTAAAAACTACAAAACACCTTCTCTTTCACACACACACTTGTATCTTTGAACAGCAGCGCTTCCTGAGCGGGAAACACTCTTCACTAATTCAGTGGGAGACAGGAAACCATAGTAAGAGGGGTGTGGGTGATTGCAGCTCAGTCTGCTAATGGTCATTTCACATGCACATGAACATGCCCACGGGACAGCACATGGATACAGAGACAAAAAGTCTGACTCATTAACGAGACGGAAGTGAAATATCCGGTCACTGCGAGTTCCTTCAGGGAATAACCTCATACATTTCAATGCCTGAATAAAAGGATGGAGGATTTTTGGTTTGAATTTTAAACAGTTATCTGTAGCTACCTTTCTGCAGTTTTGTTTTGATATGATAACAAACCTTTCCTTTTCCCTAGAGGAAGAATGTGCAACATTTTACACATAAATATAGCAGAAATCAAGTATATCCTCGGCCATGGTACAACAGAGAGGAAATAGAAACAGGATGTCAGGTAAAAGTAGCATGTTGTCAGGACACTCAGTTAGGCAGCTATAGAATCGGGACAGGCTGTAAGAACGTTGGGAATGAGGCCCAATTACCACCTCTACAAATTTTTAGGACGAGGAAGAAAACTTGGCTCAGAAATCTCAGATAAAAGTAGCTTCAGCACAGATTTGCTTCAACGCCAATCGTCTAGAAAAGTGAAATCATTCACACACAAACACAGCCACACAAAATATCACAGGGTCTATAGCAGAGCTTGGCATTTCTCCTTAAACACAACAAAAAAACTTTAAAAAAAGATGTCCTTCAGAGCTGCTGGGGACATTTGTATCTAAGAATCTAAGAAGCCAAACATGGTGTCCAATCATAGATCAGAAAGTGTCTTTTCAAGGACACATTTAGACTTTTAATTTTCAGCTTTAATGCATTTAAATTAATCAAGCTCTACTTTACACCCTGACAAACACACACTGACTTACCTCGCTCAGCTTTGCTGCTTTAACCTTATACATTACTTAGAAGACCGAGGCTCAATTTATCCTTAAATAATGTCAAGACTGGGAGGGGTGGAGGCTATGGTGTTGGGTGAAATGCTTTACATAGATAGATAGGGAAGAAGCTACGGAGAAGGAAGTGGTGTGAAATGAATGGAATCTTCCAATTATCTAAAGTCGGGAGGTTTTGGAGGTCAATACTTCTATTTTCTACAGCCAGGAGGAAAGAAAAGGAGGATGAGAGGGGGGAGGATGGAGAGGAGGAGGTGGAGTGGAGCAGAAGTTACAAAGATTGGAGGGGCACACTCACCTTGATTAAACCATTCCTCTATAGTTAGCCAAGGAAGCAGCAGCAATACCAAAAAAACACAAAGCGGAGAGAAGAGAGAAAGAGAATGGTGAAAAAGGCGTGTGCAAGTGTCAAGAGGCTGTCGAGTTAAAGGAGCAACATGTAACTCTGACCCCTAGTGTTTAAAATGGGTACTGCAGTCTAAATTCTAAACATTATAGAGAGCTGTCTCCCCCCCCCTCCTCTCTAGAGTCGATGCTCACTCAGATCACCATGTGGTGGACACTGAAGCTTCAGTGTTTACCATGTGGGGGTGCCTTAAAACCACCTACCTTCTCTGGTCCAAACAAATCCAGAGCATTCAGGAGCAGAATCTAAAGTTAGAAGGAGGACATACTGGCTGCTGCATTGTTGTCAGAGAAGCCAGCACTTCAACATAGTATGTTTCCATAATGTCTGATCAGATAGTAAGATCATTTCAGTCAGTAGGTATCTTACAGATTGCTCCTTTAACAGTTTTTACAAAATAAAAGTAATCGCATACCAAAGAGGGAAGGAGACAGAGAAAAAAAAGTCAAGAGAGGCCAAAGAGAGAAAGTGTGATTGAGTTTTAGAGATTGGAAAGAGGAAAGTTGGGGAAGACATAAGCAGTCAAAAGGAAGCATGTTCAAAGAGTTGGCACCAGTGGGATGCTTTTTTTAAGAGGGAAAATAAGACTTGATTAAAGTAAGTGGTAATATAATGAAAAAGAAAAAGGGGAGAAAGACCAAGAAGACAGAGAAACAGCTTTCAGTGCAGATAAGAGGGCAGGATACCGAGTCATACAAACATGTTCAGTGTGACTGTATAAGTGCTTAGTGCATAGGGAAAACAGACATGTGCTGAAAGAACAGTGGAGAATCAGACTGTTTATCAGGTAAAAAAAAAAAGGCTTGCGCATGCATGTTGATCATTTTGGCATATTTTACTCGTTTAAATGAAGCGGAGGCCAAACGCAGCCCACTTAAGGAAACAAATTACAAAGCATACAGCCGACAGTGCTGCTTAACTACCCCCTTTATGCTCTCTTATAGCCGTGTTTAATGTGTCTGTACCTGAGCCTCATTGTGCTGAAGAACCCCTTCAGGGTCTGCAGCAGCTAAACACAACTCATTATTCAATGTGTGTGTGTGTGTGGTGTGTGTGTGTGTGTGTGTGTGTGTGTGTGTGTGTGTGTGTGTGTGTGTGTGGTTTATTGGTGTCTTTATAAATATAAAGTATACGTTGATGCTACTGTGTTTTTTCCTGACCCTAGATCAGAGAGGATTCTCCAGCGAGTCGTTAGGTGTCAGGGGTTACTGGCTGGCAGTCACACCTCATTGGCCGACTGATTTATGGCGGCCATTAGTGTTGTACGGGGAGATAACAAGCGTCGTTTAGCTAACTGTCTGGGAGGTTGCTGATTAAGACATTGCTAACAACACATGTGTACGTGGCACATCTGTCAGAAGGGGGGGGGGGGGGGGGAGTCAATAATGACGAAAAGCTCCTGACGGGGCAGAAAGTGCCACGATGGACGTCCATGTTGAAGAGGTTGAACGCTTTGAAAGGCAGTTTTTTTATGGGGACATTATGGACACAAAGGCCTTTTGTTCAAACATTAGCTCAATAGGTGCTGTCTGTTATCCTCCAATGGACGGAGTACAAATCGTTTCTTTTTCCAGCTGACAGCGATTTGTACGAGCTCAGGAAGATAACAACATCCTCCAGATTTCATGAATTAAATGAAGAAAAATCAAAGGTAAGCGACAACAAGTAAGCCTTGTAATCGAAAGCTGCAGCTCTTATTTATTAATTAGGGTTCTGCACTCATAAGGATTTGAGGTTTTGATTGTTTTATCCGATAAATCCAACATTTCCTCCACTGTTTAATGAAACTGGATTACTTCCTAATGTTTAATTAACACAGCAGTACTTCATTCTGCGCCCCTCTTTCCTCCTCCTCACCTTTGGCCTTCTTGCCTCCGAAGCAGCCTGCGTCGTCTTTCTTCTTCCTCTGTGGTCCTGCTGATCCGGGGGCCTGGAGCGACGAGGGATCCAGGAACTTCTCGGCCCCTGGCACCTCTTTGTGGACGTGGTAGGACAGGTTCCTCATGATACAAACACAGTTCTCCACCGACTGGGAAGAGACAAAAAACACAGACGTTATCATCGACAAGATACTAAAAGTGAAGGGCATATCCTGTACATTTATAAGTACTATATGCTTTATTTAAAATTTGCTTTTGGTGGGTGAGTCCAGCATCTCCTCACCTTGTTGTCCATGTCTTTCTTCCCTACAGCTGATTGGAGAGCGTGCAGCAGAGCGTCCACCAGTCCCTCACATTCCCTCAGTCTGCGTCGAGCCTCAGCTCCATCTGAGCTCACATTTCTGTTGGAACAAATGTCAAAAACACACACAGACACACATCAGTATCAAGAACATGAAGCTGCTCTGAGCCTGCTGCAAAACCAGAAAAAAGGGGTAATAAACCAACTCCTCTTTTGTCAAATCTGCAGCTGTTCTGAAGCAGGAAATTCAAAACTTTTGCTCGATAGTGTTATTTAAATGTCAAGTTATTTTTATGCCAAACACACTTTACCACGATAACACTAATATCTGTACCTAGTCTGTCTACAAATCACCTAATGATGAGAAAAGTCCATCCTCTCCGTCTTCTGCCTGCTCCACTTTCAGAAAATGTGGAACATAATGGACACAGAAACATTTGGGATGCACCAACCTGTGCATCAAAAAGCTATACAAGCTTAAGTCCATTAACCATTTACCAAAAGCAATAAGACATGACCTGTAGGAAGCACAACTATCATTCAATGTTTATTGCTTCATGCGGGGAGAAGCAAACAGCCTTCATGACAATAACTGGCCATTTTAAAATCATTAATATCAGTGAGCCACGACCATACTAACTCAGCCATGTGGTTTTATTTTGTCCGAATGTGACCCGTAACCTTTATGCACCCTGTCTGCCTCAAATCAACAGACTAATATGCTGTAGATGAAATCTTAGGAAAAATGATGAATAGAAATTCATGTCTGCAATAAAGGGGAAATGCCATCCAGGTTATGTCATCTAGCGGCCTGAGCACAGCTCGTGTAAGCAGAGAAGCAGAGGCGGTTATGTCATCTAGCGGCCTGAGCACAGCTCGTGTAAGCAGAGAAGCAGAGGCGGTGCAGGCTTAGCGCTGCAGTGTGACTGGCTGTGAAAGGGAGAGGCTTTAAAGAGGGTTAAGGGATAGCTGGGGCTCCTCGCTCCTCACCGGGGACTTCATTTATGAAGGCTTCCAAGCCACATAATCCCATTAGCCGACCCCCAGTTAGTCCTGTGGATGAGCGGCAGCCGAGCAGAGGGGGCACAGCGCTGATATCACAGCCTACGATGATACACATGTGGATGTTTACATTCAACAATCAAGGACACAGCTGAATTTTAGACTATTTAAATAATCACAATAGATACGAGACGGTACGATATGATACATTACGTAATGATACCTAACGATACAATATGATAAGGTAGGATACCGTCCGATACCGAATGATACAATTCAATATAGTACAATATGACGCGATGTGGTACGGTACAATGCGATAAGATAAGATACGATACGGTGCGATGCAATACAATATGCTACGCTACGGTGCGATACGATACGGTACAATGCAATACGATATGCTATGCTACGGTGCCATGCGATACGATATGCTGCACTACAGTACAATACGATATGCTACGCTACGTTACGGTGCAATGCGATACGATACGATGCGATACGATACGATGTGCTACGCTACGGTGCGATGCGGTGCGATGCGATGCAATACGATACGATACAATATGCTACGCTATGGTGCAATATAATATGCTACGCTATGGTGCAATATAATATGCTACGCTACGGTGCGATACGATGCAATATGCTATGCTACGGTGCGATACAATACGATGCAACAGTACAATACGATATGGTACGATACAATACGATGCGACAGTACGATACGATACGGTACATTGCAGTGTGGTCCGGTCCAGTGAAGGCAGTGCGACCTCATCACCTGCCTTACACCTCGTCATGTTCTTGGCCAGTGTATGAGTGTCTCTGCCATTTGTCATAGGAGATAAAGACCCCTTAAGAACAGTGCGACACTTTGTGCTACTTAAACCTCGTCTTTAGTAGAGACTAGTTGAGACAGCACCGACCATCTGGACCTGCTCATAAACCAAACCCGTCCGTCTGCAGCTGTCAGAGAACGGTCACCACCTCCCCTGTAAAAGGATCCAGAGGAGCTGGCCGTCCTGGATTTATTTGACAGGAGCCTGTTTGAGGGCAGACAGACAGAAGAGTTTTATTGTCAGCTGTTTCACTTCCAGGAGTCTTTCAGGGAGCAGTTGTCTTGGTGGAAGGTTTATGGATGCTGCGTCTGTCAGAGGAGACTGCGATGGCTGCACAGGTTTTTTTAAGATGGCGTGCAGTGTTTAGAGCATTTAGTCTTAAGTGGTTGTGAAGGTCTGTTTGCACTGATGGTTACTGACTCATCTGGAGGATAACCATCTGCTGCTGTGTTGCTGCACTTTTTTCCACGGTGCGATCAAAAATCACAGCTAATTAATGCTGAGGAGTGACATCCACAGGCCTTTAAGAATGAGCAATACACTATGGATTTGTAAAAACTTTCTCTCCTCATGTCTGTCTGCATCACAAGTGTTCAATTGCAGCCGTTTTATTTCAAAGGATTCTGATCCACTAAATATTCTAGTCTCAGTAGCTTAATAAGTGAGCATGTAGTTTAAGGATATGTCTATCAGCAGATTTCAATAAATATGTTGTTTAAATGAATTAAATCTATATTTCCACGAGCTTCAAATTATCTATCTATATTTATATCTCATTCATAAAAAACTACATGACATCATGCATTGATACTGTTCTTCTCAAATAGTTTTCCCCTTTGAAATCAGGAATTCTGTTGTGGAAGTGCCAGCTTTCACTAAACACAAAAAGCCTTTGAGAAAGAACCTTTCAGTGGTTTTTGATTAATTTAAGTATTTCTTTAGAACATGTACTATTTATTTCCCATGACAAAAGCCAAGCCAACAAAAAGAATGGTGTGTAACAACAGACACTTTCAACATGTTAAAAAAAGGAGTTGGAAGAAATGGTAATTTATCTAATCCAACCCCCATCTCCATTTCAGTTCATTGGCATAGCAGCCATTTTTAATCATAACTATGTTTCTTTTAAGTTATTCTGTTGTTTTCACTTGTGATAGTCTGTTTTTAAGGGCTAATATTAACTTGTTATTAGTTTTTTTTCATTGGAAACCTTCCACGCCTTCCTCTGACATTGTCTAGTTGAAACTGCTATAAAGCAGAAACAACAACAACATACCATATTGGTTCAAATATAAGGCGACCCTAATTGTATTTGATCAAGACCGGTGCAGAGTTGGCTAAACACTGAAGCTTCAACCTCAATTTCCACATAGCACACTGTGGTCCATCATCACAGGAGAACTAAATGATCAAGCAGGAATAAAGAGAAGAACGTGCTAACAACATGTTACTTTGTCTTCCTGAGGATGATTTGTTCTTCATTCAGTTCCTATTTTGATGAAATTTTGATAAAGTGATGAAAAATACAAACATTTCCTTGTCTGACTTCCTGCCCGGGTTGTTATTTTCTGTCCAGCTAAACACATGCCTGCAGCGTACTCCGTTGAAAATAGATCTCACAGCGTATTTGAAACAGAGAAGAGCGTAGTGGCGCTGTGGAGACAGACCGCGGCGCCCGCTGTGGAAACACAATCATTGACTAATGTGGCAGTGAACAACAGCATAGTGCGCGGCGCTCACAGAACACGGCATGCATGGAGTCTCTGGAAATTGGGGGTGAGTGTCCGAGACATGGCAACCTGTGTGAGCATCAACTCTTGAGAGGAGGGGGCGGTCTCTGTTTTGAATTTGGACTGCAGTACCATTTCTGAACACTAGGTGTCAGATGTACATACTGCTGCTTTAAAGAAAAGAATCACAAAATAATACAGAGACAATGCTGCTGCAGTACTAAGAATGACAGGACTTTGTTCTGTGACAACAAGGTGCAGAGATATATCTCTCCTCGAGTGCACAGGGACATTTATTATTAATCAGGAACAGATAGTTCTGGTTTCTGTGATCTGCTTTTGTTATTCTTTCTACTGAAAAAGAGATGGACCGAAGGACCATTTTAAAATATGTGCACCTTTTTTTGGTTGCATTTCTCAAAGCAGGACACTTTGTCCTTGTTGTGGTCTCATCATGTCTGAAGCAGTGACGCTTGTGAGGACTATTTTACTATCAGACACTCAAAAAGAAGAACTCAGTGTCTGTGTCTGCTCGGAGACTGACAGCTTGTCATTGAGTTCTGGATGTGTCTTTAGTGCGTCTTCTTTATCAGATGGAGAGTGGGTGTGAAGGTCAGTCAGAGTCATGTGGCCATCAGAGGACAATAGAGCAGCTGGGACGAATAGACCGGAGCCGGACTGATGGAGACTGATGGAGATGGATGGAGACGTGGCTGACCTGTGCAATCGCCTTGCAAGGTCAATGACAAGAATGCAGGGCCATGTGTGTACCCTGGGGCTGACGATCCTTTAGATTTTATCGATCTAGATTTCATTTGTTATTCACCTTCTGGATTGTTGCCTCTCCGTTAATCCCTGTTCAAAAGCAGCTCGTATTATCAGAGGAAGAAACCCACTCAAACATGCTAAATGAAGAACTGTGCTGCTAGAAAACCAAAGACTATCCACAGACGGATGGCTTTACCCAAAAGAGAAGGGAAAACTTTGTATCTCCATCTACTGACTGACTGCAGTATAGGTCATGAAGCCCGCCTCTCATGGTAACAGATCCGACATGTAGAAAACTAAAAGATCATAATACAAAAAAAAAATCCTTTTTCTAAACATGATTTCTGTTATTTAAGTTACTTTTTGTCATGTTGATAAATGTTGAGGTTTAGTGAAGTTTATGATATGATTGACAACTCAGTTGACAAATGAGGCTCCTGCAGATCCATGTGCAGTGGATTAGTGGAGTCAGTAAAGGATTGAACAGTGACATTACAAACACTTCTGGTGCATTCACACCTAAGCCGTGTGGTTTGAAATGAACTTCATTTGGTTTGGGGTGGTGTGAAGCTCAAACGAACTCTGGTGTGGACCAACAGTTCAGGTATTGGAGGTGAGAACGCGATCCCGACCAAACAGGGGAAGTGAAACGGATTGCAGTGCATTGTGGGTTGAATTTGGACGTCTGTAAACAATGACCAAAAGGTTTGACAAGGGTGACTAACATTAACATTGCTAACAACATTAGCATTGCTTTC